AAATATATGTCTGAGTTCCATTCTAATCAGTTTAACAAATTAGATTATACTGAGGCACAGGAGCCAAAAGGTCTTATCACATTAGTTGTCAATGTCAACTAGAAGAGTTGTTCTCAACCTTGGCCACACATCATCAGAGAAAGTGGAAGATCCCAAGCTCATGACACAAGCCAGGTGAATGAAATCAGAATCTCAGAGCTGGGGCCATTTTCAAAGATTCCCCAGGATAGTCAAAGGATCACTGATCTACGGTATCAATTCACTGATATTGAAGAAACATCTTTGCAATGTAAATCAATATAAAGTAAAAAGCAAAGTGTTTATGCCTAGTCAATGTGAGGTCAACATTGAAAATAAAAATTTAAAAGGACACTGCGGATTGAAATTAAAGCAATAGGTCAAATAATTCAAATTAAAATATTATTTTATTTGAAATAGTTATATGTATACTTGTTCTTGGGTACTCAATCTAGCATGAAAAACTTAATGGATTATAATTTATATGTGGGGGGGCATGAGACTAGGAGCATTATTGATTTCCTTTGCTCCATACTTTAATTCACCTTGCACATGCAGACACTGACATCATACAATTAAAGCAATTAAAACCAATGTGTAATAGCATTTATTAAAAGTTTGAGCCCTATATAGTTACTAATTTGACACAGTTACAAGTTCAAAGTAAAAATAATCATTCTTTAGCCTATAAAAACAATAGGCACCTAATATTAAGATAAAATTTTGGTTGTTTTCCTATAAAAATAAAATACAATTCATAAAATTAGTGGTCATATATAAAACAAAAAATAGGAAAAACAAAAATCAGGGTCATAAAACTTGTTATGATAATAGTTTTGACCTAAAAATGGCCTTAATAATGGTTAAAATGATTATCTGCATGGTTAGACTATTTGACTTTGTAGAAAAGCAATTCAGCAATAGAGAGAAGATTTGAAAATAATCAAGTGATAGGATACAAAAAAGATCTATTTGCATATGTATTCCACATTCCTGGACAATGTCACACTTTTTACAAGAGCACTTAATCAACAGCAAAACAATATTTTTTAATAAAAATAATTGTTAGATATTTGATTTTATTTTAAATATATTCTTTCAAGAATCTAGAGCGCATGAGCCAAAATGAATTAAGAACTTAAGAAAGGTTCAAACTGTACATTATGTAATCCAAATTATATGTGCTCAAACTGGTTAATGTTTGTGAGCGGTTTCTGCAAACAATACAGAAAGCCTCAGGTATCACGATTATTATATATGCCTTACATTGGCAGAGCATCCTTTCGGCCAGTATCTGTTAAATTAAGAATAAGCAATAGAATCTGCTTTAACATGAGATTATAAAAATAAAAATATGGATGCATATGTTCTTGAGAGTATGAAGATTAGTATCTATTATGAGAGAACTAAAATACAGATGATGCAATATCTACGTTATAGTCTAATCTCAAATCTGCTTTCACTGATCATCTGGCTTAAGTTAAGGTATAGTACTAGTAAGGACATAAAGCTATCAATAACAAAAGTTTACCAGTAACAAAGTAATTTGTATTCCTTAAATATCCCAATTTAATAATATATATCTTCACATATGCTTAGGAGCTAAAGGACAAGAGAAAATATTTAAGTTTAAAAAAACAAGCATTTTAATAATATACATATGTAATTTTGTAGCTTAGAATACTGCATATTTAAATATTAGCAACCAACTTTATTACAGCTTTGTTACTCTTATTATATATTAAAGATCATTTTGAAAAACAATGAAAACTACAGAGAATTACTGTCATCATTTTTGCTACTTGACTTATGTAAGATAGCAGCTTGAATGTTCTTTATTTTTCCATAAATTTCCTCCCAGATAAATGTGCATATTTACTCTTTTAAAATTAAGCCAGCTATTTCTCAGAATATTAAAAAATATTCTTGGGTACAAATGATTTTTATTATGTGTTCAATACAAATGTTCACTAAAATAAATTCGAGCTGCATTTAATCTCCAATTACTATGGACTCAGGCACTATGACTATTAGATCAATATTAAGGTTTGTGTGCTTTCTCAGCATAAGGCGTCAAAAGTCCTTCAAAACAAGTTAAATTAAATGTAATCAATTCTATTTTATATATGGAATGTGGCTTTTTTGTAAATGGAGGAGAATATAAAATTAGAAGGTAATATGTCCTTAAGTTTTATATTTTAGAAATTACTGCATTAATAATTTAATTATATGGACATAATAAGGTTAATATTTCTCCTAAAATATAAACTTGTATATAAATTGTATAACTAATATGACTAAGTATATTCTATCTACATTTACAAATATATTTATACACTATTAAATTATATTTTTCATGAATATATTACCAATTCAAGAAATATAATGCATTTGCTTTTAACATAGCCTCGGGCTTTGTGGCTATCTTAAAATATGGAAACTTTTTCATAGAATGTATATCTTGAGCAAAGTCCTTGATGACAGTCACAATTTCATAATTATAGTTATATTTAAAATGAGCAAAACTGTTTAGAAAGAAACTCAGGCACATCATTCAAAGTTTACAAGTAGCATTTTAAGGCATGTAATATAATTTATATGTGGATGTCTTTGTGGCTTTTTCAGAATCATAAAGAAATTATATATTAAATTAAGGAAATAACCAATCAATTTGTAAGTTATCAATCAGGAACACTTGAAACTTAAATGTGGAATTCTAATTATTAAAAACAATTATTATGGAAAAAATGTTTCAAATGAACAAAAAAACAAAAATCACACAACCAAGAAAATAGCTACAAGATATCACAAGTAATAAATCATGTGTGTGATTATGAGAAACTCAAATGGCTGTGCTTACTTTTCAATGTGAAGAAGAAATGTTCCTAAGAAGTTAAGATTTCTATAATGTGCTTTTGTGTATACAGTTAACAATTACCACTTTATATAAAAACACAATCCAGAAGTAGTTCATGAAATTACACATTAATTTCACCTACATTATACCTTTACAGCTCTGATGACAAATATAAAGTTGAGAAATGTTTCAGGTCAAGAGGAAAATATACTTATTTATATTTAAAATTTGGATATTTGAGCAAAGATACATCTGAAAAGCTTATTTGAAAATATGCTGCAGTCTATTAACAATGACTATCTTTTAAATACTGAACCTATGCAAGTTGGAATTGATAGAAATTTCTATGAGAATTACATTCAGAAAAGCAAGCAAATTTATATTATTACAAGATACCACTTTTAAACATAAATAATATACTGAAATGCTTATAACCTTTTATGAGTAGCAAAATTAGCAGACACACCATTTTCCTTATTTTTATAATTCTAATGAAACATATCTGGTCATAATAAATAACTATGCAATAAGTTATTAACAGCTGCCATTAAGAATAAGTTTAATCCCCAGGCATTAGTTATAGTGATATGGTTAAGAAAAGTATGTAGGAAAGTTTAAATCCATTTATCTTATGAAGTGGCATTCTAAATTAATATTGAAAACTCAATATTAGTATTTCCAAAGAAGATCTGTTTCTGATTTTAAAAAACGTTGAAAAGCAAGTTTAGTTTGAGTTTAGTTTAATTGTCAAAAGCACAACTAAACAATCCAAAGTAAGGTACAGCCCTTGAACTATGTTCATTTTAAATAGATTCCTTAGACCAGTTCTCATGTCAAAGAATCACAATGCATTTTTTATCAATATTGCCCTTGATTGCACTTCTCCAGTACAAAGCAAGTGAAGCAGAAGAGGGACAATTTTTCTTTTCCTGTGTGGTGTTGAGGGAGTAGTGAAGAGAAAGGAAAAGAGAGAGTGTAGTATATTATTCCTTTTTAAAAGCAATACCATTTTATTGTGTTATTTAATAAATTAGCCTTGGAACAAAACATTAAGGCTTACTAAGATTCTGTCATCATTTCTTTCCTACTAAAATGTCACTTACTGCAGTATCTTCATCATCAACAGAGCTCTTGGGGAATCTCATTTCAGCACCACGGACAGTGACACCTCTACAAGAAGTGCACCACCCATGCCATTGGCCATTTCTTAAGACACTTGCATACACTTCTTTTTTGTCAATCAGCAAGGATTACAGCCCTTACTATATTAAACAGAAATAGACTGAATATGATACACATTATTAAGGAGTTTAGTATTTTTATCCCTAGCACCATGCATTTGCCATTTAATATTTCTGGAGAACATGCTGAAAATACAAGCTAATTACATAAGGTATCTGATAAAACCTAACACTTAATTATTGATCACCAGATAGTTAATGGAAACTTTCCACTCATATTGAGTCTGAGGTCAATAACTATTCAAATTTCTAAGAGAAAACAGAAAATGTATTGTGATTCAGTATGCTTAGGTAGGCCTCCAGACTTTCCAAACAACCTGAACTATCTCTGTAAAACAGGTAAAACGTGTTTTGCTTCTTCCTACATAAACAACTACAAACACTTTCTCTTTACCTTCTGGTCAACCAACTTAATGACGTCACTCTCTGAAAATTCACGTGTGCAGGTCCATAAGCCAAATCACACGTGCCTGTCTCTGACTCTTCTGATTTGGGCTAGGATCATTAGTATGCAGTCCCATCATATCTTCTTAACAAGCCATATTCAAATTCCATTTTTTAAATAAGGTAACAGAGTTTGAACCAATCGCTTATCTGTAAGAGGTAATTTAAGCCCTAGCTTTATTATCTCAGAAAACCAGGGTGTTCCCTGATTTTCCAGGGATTCCCAAATGAAGGCACCAGTCTACCACTAATCCACGAGGTATTCCCAACTCAAGCACCAAGTCAAGCTCTTATAACCACAACAACGACGACTGAAGTAACAAAACCAGAGCCACAAAAAATAAAATAAACTTTTAAAACTCTAGAAAACATTCCAACAAAATAAAACAGATGGAAAAGCTCAAGAAGGGCAGAAGAAAAAGAAAATCCACTGATCCTACCTTACAGTCCTCAGGACAGGATTTCACCGAGTACTCCTGCGATTGTAAATATTTATGGAGCACACTTTCAAACTCTTCGTATTTCTCCTGAGCGTGGTGGTCATAGTCTTGGTAAGCCTCGATGCATTGCCTGCAGGTGGTCATCTCGCCGCCCTCCTTGAGCACCACATCCAGACTACAGTTCAAAGTGTTGGGACTTGACAACCCCGAGAACAACTCCCAAAGTGTGTAGGAATTACAAAACGAAAGGTAAAAATCCGACAAGTTCCAGAGTGCAGTTGGATGTGTCCCTCTCACTTGCTGCTCCTCCCCCCTGGCCGCCACCCCCTGACTCCAGTTCCTGGCGCACACCGCGTCCGCGCTCTCCACGGTAAAGCACTGGCCCGAGGAGGCGCCTTGGGGGTAACAAGTCTCCAGGCGCCACGCGGGTTTGGCAGAGTTTCCTAGAAAAAGAGCCTTGCTCCGGTTGTTTTTGCCCCCGCTGCCCTTGCCGCCGCCAGGGCCGTCTCCCGGAGAGGGGGGGAGGGTGGGGGATGAGGAGGCGGAGAGCAGTCTGAGTGCCTGGGCAGCGGGCGAGGACTCCCCCATGCTCGCCAGGAGCGCGGGCCAGGAGGGCTCCTGCTGCCGCGTCCGCTGCTGTTGCTGCTGCTGCTGCCGCTGCCGCTGTTGCTGCTGCCGCTGCTGCTGATGCTGTTGCTGCTGATGTTGATGCTGCTCCTTGTCCCGGGTCCGGGTCAGCTTGGCTTCGGCGCAGAACCACAAGTGATCAGAGAGCAGGACTGTGAAAAACAAGAGAGATGCCAGAGACAGTCGCCATTTCTGAGCCCTCTCTGAATCGATGAACGGTTTCTCGTTCTCCCGGGGTGCTGCCAACCAGATTTTTAAGCCGTCGTCATACTGCCGACACATCCAAGCACCCCTGGTCATATTTTGGGAACGCACAGCCCGGGCCGACTCCACCGTGAGGGCTCCTGTGCCGGTGTCACCACAATATGCATTGACTTAAAGGGTTTAATTTCCTTATCCCCTCCTCCCGTTTCTTCTCTCTCTTTCTCTCCCTTTCCCCCTCTCCCTCTCTCTCCCTCTCTTTTTTTCTCTCTCTCTTTTTGCCTACATAAATATTACTAGGCTTTGGAGGAAGATCTGACTTGCTTCCGACCTAATCATCAGCCGACCCCATCCTCTGTAGAGTAGGAAACAATAGTGGAGAGAGAGAGAGAGAGAGAGAGAGAGAGAGAGAGAGAGAGAGAGAGAGGCAGTCGGAGGTGGCTGGGCTGGTGGCCGGTGGCGAGCTGAGTGCAGGAGGTGATGGTGGAGGTGGCGGGGTGGCTCTGCGCTGGTCTTCTCACCCAGGCATTGTCAGCGCGCGGGTCCCCATGGTCCTGCTGAGGACGGCCCGCTCTTCCCAGTCAGGGGCATGCCGCGTCTTCGCTGCCCGCGGACAGCGACCAGTGCGCCTCCCCAGTGGCTCTCCTCCTCCTTCCCCTTCGCTTCTCCTCCTCTTCCTCCTCCTTCCTTTCCTTCTCCTTTCTCTCCTCCTCCTCCTCCTCCTGCTCCTACTTCTCGCAGTCTCTCCCCGAGTCCGGAGCCTGGGCAGCCACCGCAGACAGGGCTCTCCCTCCCCCCCACCCCCCACCCCGCGCTCGAACTGCTGCTGCCGCCGCTGCTGTTGCAGGTCTGCCCGAGGGCGCCTCCGCCACCGGGCTCCGACTGCTGACGCCGCCTCCCCCGGACCTTGGGGCCGAATCGCCTGGGCTGGGCCTCCCAAGAGCCACAGTCATCTTCAGTCCCCAGCTAAGTTGCCGCCATCTTCGTCCTGGAGAAACACTTTTTTGGGGGGGAGCGCTGGCTTTTGCGTCATCTCCTCCCGCGCAGAGATCTCTCCATCCTGGCGCATTGGCACCGCTTCGGCCGGGCGGCGGAGGAGGGCGAGGACGCACGGGGCCGGGGGAGGGGATGGTGCGGCTGTGCCACTGGCCCCGCCTGGGCTTCTGAGCTCCAGTGCTTGCTCCTTCCTTTCCGTCCCCTGTCCTCACCTTTTGGCTTTTTCTTTCTGTTTGCACTGACAAAAGTCAGAATGCAGATGCATGACTGAAAATGCTAGCTCATTTCTTCCGCGTCTCCCACTGCCTCTCTGCCTCTGGAAAAAGTCCGAGTTGCAAGCGGTCGGTTCCAGGTTTCTCATGGGGAGGGGGTCAGGGTAGTGCTCTCTTAACTAAGTGATGATAGACTTCAAAGGAAAGGTTGGAGGGGTGGGGGGTAGGGAAGTAAACACGAACAGGCTAGAGGAGAGAGGAGGTGACACCTGGTTTCTTTATATGGACCTCGGGATCCCTAAAACAAACTAGAGCTCAACAACTACCAGTGAGTTACATTTTGTCAAGTGAGTTTAGTGCTTTATATGGAACGGATGGTGTGTGCATCTACAACTATATATGCCGCTGTATATGTTACAGCGACGTATTTCATATTCGAAAGTACAGGTAAGAAATGGCCTCATATAGTCAGAAAAATACAGTAAAACCTGGGATATCAGGGGTCACCGCCTAGCCCTCGGCTTGGATTTCAACGTCTTGACTTCGGAGGATTCCTCCTCGGATCTGGAGCATGAAAAGCTTCCTTAACCCCATTCCCCACCGAGTTAGGCTTTGCTGTCGCCCAAGACTTCCGCAGCAGCTGGCCATTGGCTGCCTGGGTGGCAGCCGCTGAATCCAAGACTCTGGTGCCCCTTAGCGTTGGTTCTTGGAGTTCCAAGAGAGCAACAGACGCTCTGGGAAAGGGGTCCCACGCTCCCAGCTCATGCAGGTTGATGCTCTGAGCAAACATTAGTCTGGCTTTATTTGGGAACCCTGCCCACTCTATCCCTCACTCCCACTGGAGCTGTGGGAGCAGGAGGCTGCGCCTGTGCCTGGACCCTCCGCACCGCCTTGTCCAGAGTCCTCTCTGTTGTTGATGATCAAGGAAAGCCTTTTGTTCTATCTCGTATTCACTGTATCCCGTCCCTGCTTTCTAATGACCCTCATACTCTGTTGGGTGCACATTCACATGGGCAGTATTAGGGTGCCTATGTTCTAAGTAAGTATATTGAGAAACCAAAGGAATGGATCATGATATTCATTTTCTAGAGATGCTATGGGTGTTGGGATGCCTGAGAAATGAGAATTTTTAAAATGTCAACATGCAAAACATAATGGGCAGGATTCAACCAACTAGTTCTGTCTTCAGCATAATAAGGTGTATACTATATTTTACCCAGGTAAATTCTAAGTTCCTAAAAACTATATGCAGTGAATATTAAAGCGTGGTGCAGTTGACCATTGATTGATCTGTCAGGTAATGTCTTAGAAAGAACATTTGTGTACCTATATCATTCTGACTCTTTGGATTTCATTGTGCTGCTTTTTTTTAACTACATAAAAGATCCCAACATTTACAGATAAGCTTTCTATGACAAGTTCATCCTTACATTAAAGCATCTTTAAGTGAGCAAAAATTGAGGTTTTGCTGAATTTTTTTTAAAATATTTTCAGTGGTTAAGCTGAGGAGATAGTCTTTCAATTTTTTTTCTTTTTCTTAATTTTATTGTTGAAAGTATTACAGATGTCCCCCTTTTTCCCCCCAATGAGCCGCTCTACTCTGGTCCTGCTCCCTCTCCAGGCCTTCACCACCCTATTGTCTGTGTCCATGGGTTATACATATATGTATATAAGTTCTTTGTTTAGTCTCTTCCTGCCCCCCTCTTCATTCTAAAATATCTCAGTTTGTTGCATGCTTCAATGTCTCTGGATCTATTTTGTTCATCAGTAAGTGAGATCATGTGATACTTGTCTTTCTCTGACTGGCTTATTTCACTTAGGATAATACTATCCACGTCTTTCCATGCTGCCTCAAAAGGTTTTGAAAGTTTAATTTTGACATTGAGTAAAATACTCTTTTCTCAAACAGTGATGTGGATAAAGATATCCTTTGAAGAAAATCTATTAAAATTTTGGAAAACATTGTTTTTTCTTCTACCTTCTTGTGATTACTCTTTTCTTAAATTTAAAACTTCAACTTCTTAAACCAAATCAGATTTATATACAACATAAAGTCTGCTTGCAGACATAAGTGAGTATAAGGTCTGGCATTTTCCATTGTGTAAATAAATACATGTAGAAGATAATATCAAAAGTCTGCATTTCTATTACTTTGTAGATTTTGCAGTACATAAAAATGAGCATATTATATTTTAAATCCTAAAATTATTCTCTCTCCCTTTTGTTTTCAACCTGGTGAACCTTTGTTATAAAGTATAGATGAAATGTAATAACCCAAAGCCTTTCTTCTTATAAACTCAGGGTGGGGATTTTTTTAATCTTAAAAAAAATTATTAAGGAATTTTTCTTTCTTATCTCTATTACCTATCTTTCTATCTTTAGCTCTATCTAGATTGTTATTTAATATCTACATTACAGGATTTAATTTCATACTTATTTCTCTTATCTGCCCCTTCATTTTTCTTCACCCTGTTTCTTCCTCATTTAAAGATGCTGCCTGGACAGGTTTATATTTCTCTTGATCTCTTCTGCGTAAGACAGAAAGCTCAGAAAAATCCTTAGCTAGGAAAGTCTACAAGATAACCCTGAGCTGGGATTCTCACACAGAAAGCTCCTAGGGGCAGTCTAGAGTGATTAAATCAGAAAGCAGACTGGGAATGGGGAAAATAAAGAAATGAACAATATATAACACAAAGATGATCTTAGGACAGGTAGAATTTTAATATAAAAAGAAAAAATTCACCAGAATACTTCTGTTAGCCCATAGGGAGAAAGGTGAGCAAAGTATCTGAATACCTAAATAAGTGACCACTTCCTAAGTGTGCACCACCCCACCATCTCCCAGCCTGGCTTCCTTTGCATGCCATGTGCCTCCAACCCAGGCAATATAAACTTTCAGCTCAAGTCAAACCTGTTCCTATTCACAGTGATGAATAAGTTCCTCTTCCACGAATAAAAATTAGCAAACGTTCTGCTGAAATGAACTATCACATTTGTTCTTAAAATATATATTCTTTCTCCCAAGTCCAGTTTTTTACTAACACCCTTCCCCAACCCCACTACTTCAAGTTTTTACTCTTCTTCACATTCCATGACCACTAGTCTAGAGTTGTGCTCGCTGTTGAGTGCTGTTGCTATTGGCAGATAGATTCATTATGACCCCCAGGGGGTGGTTTAAAGCTAAAAACCACCAGAGCTACTGATATCAAGCTAATTACAATTTCCCTTGACAGTGTTTCTCAGTATTGCCTCTATTGACATTTGGGGTCGATACTTCTTTGTTGTGGATGGCTGTCCTATACTTTGTATGAGGTTCGGCAGCCTCCCTAGCCTCAACTCACAAGACACCAGTAACACAATGCCTTCTCCCCAGTTTTGACAACCAAAACTGTCACCAAGTATTGCCAAATGTCCCCTGGAAGCAAACTTTCTCCCAAGTAAGAACCACTGCTTTAGAAACATCTCAAAGTAGTAGTGGTTACCTAATTCATATCTGCATGGGAGTTCTGGCATCAGAAATAAAACTATGCCTTTTTCTCTAATACAGTGTATTTATAATCTAAGAAATCTTCACCTAGAATCATCACCTCATCATATAGAATGTCATAGAATAATTTTTAAAGACTATAAAATTTTGAAATTCCCTTAACCTCTCTTACCTATACAAAGTTAAGGGGATAACTGACAATTATCATTTAAATCTGATTAATGTCAGAATTTTTCTCCATAACTCAGACTAATTTATTAACCAGATTGCTTGTATTAAAAAAAAATACTTCTTATTGATTTTTAGAGAGAGAGGAAGGGAAAGGGAGAGAGTGAAACATCTATTGGCTGTCTTCTGTATGTCCTCTACTGAGGATCAAGCCCAAAACCAGGGCATGTGCCCTGATCAGGAATTTAACCTGCAAACTTTTAATGAATGATGCCCAAACAAGTGATTCACACCAGCTAGGGCTGTTTGTACTTTTTCTGTGGACCCTCAAATATAATATATCATAAACTAAACTAAATATATACATCTGCTCATGTATATGTAAATCTAGAAGTTCTGTATGACACTGTAGAAAATTACAAAAAAACAA